ATAAAGACATGGATGGTAGCAATGATACCTGCCTAATGTCAAAGGCCTAGGACAGGAGAGAGAAACCTTAACAAAGAAGTATCAGGTTTTGCTTATGTGTCAAAGAAAGCCATGTGAAACCATCGCTAGTCATTTTCAAATCACATGCAAAAACTGAAAAGCCCCTTCTATTCTTTTATTACATTCAAGTTTTCTCATGCCTTTGCTTGCCTGAGAGAATGGTTGGTTCTGAGGCGCTCCTGAAAGAACAGTTTAGTTAGGTATAATGTCTTCAGATGCCACACGGACACAGAAGCCTGACTTGACAGAGCCCAGGCTCTGACGCCCTGTCTAACTTCACAGCCTGCTCTTCCAATGGCCAGCAGGCCAGCCACACACTAGCTGCTAGCCAAGCCTGTGTGTCTCCAGCTACACAGCAACAAAGACCAGAGACATACGAAATAAAAAGCCCTCACAGTGCCTGCCCTGAAGTAGGCACTTAATATATCTCACCCATTTATTGCCACTGCCTTTATTATCGGAGTGGGTGCAACCATTAAAGTTGAGCGAGTATATAGAACAGTCCCCTGCATTGAGTCTCCAGGATTCAGTCCATTCTCTGCCAGTAAGCAGATTGTACTGGGGCACAGTTACCACATTTCTGTAGGATACAGCAATTCTAGCAAACTAAAATTCAAAAAAGTTGAGATTCTGATATACAAAATCATAGAAACTAGCTAGAGTACTGGCTGTACCCATAGTCTCCTGATTTGCATTAGAAGACAAGATGAATGTGGTGAGTTCAAGGCCAGCCTGAGCTATAAAACAAGACCCCCCCCCATTTAAAAAAAGGCAGGTGTTGCCCACAATCAGCCTGCTAAGAAACAGGTAGCATGCACCTGTTCAATCCACTCCAGTCAAATCAAAGAGACATGTGGCTCCCAGCTTACACTTGGTTTATGAACCTTTAAAAAAAAACAGCCTGTGTCAGATCAGTGCATAATGACTCACTCTAATTCACTGCTGGCGATGCTCATGGTACAGTGATTCTGGCCTTGACTAGGAGATGTTGGACAACTTCAAGAGAACAGAATCAGTCTCTGAATAAGGGAGAAAACATGTACTGGGTGAGAGCAGGGTTCTAATCCCAGACCCTTCATTCAGTAACATATGCAAATAAGGTTTAGCACACGTTAAGTACCATACCAAAAAAAAAAAAAAAATACAGTTTCTTTCTGCTCCCAAATGCCACTAGAATCACATGAGCCACTGTGTCCCTTTAAGGCAAAAAACCAGACCTCTCTAGATGTCACTTTTTTAAATAACTTCAAGAAAACTGAGCCTCTTTCACCTTGTTTATGAGTGAAACTGCATCAGTGACAAGAAGTCAGGAAGTGAATAGGTCTAGAATAAGGAAGCCATTTATCTGACTCCTGCTGGAAGCTGTATGAACATGGCAATGACCTAGTTAACATCCCGGCAATCAGCTGACAGAAGCAGCAAGCATCAGAGTGATCACTAAATAAAAACAGTCACAGCTCTCCACAGCCTATGCCAGAGACACCAAGAACACCACAGCAATCTTCCAGGGGTGCCTTGGAATTAATCCCACCCCACATGAGGCTCTTGCCTCCCCTTTGCTTCTAAAATGTGAATTCCTGACTAAATGGATACTGTTTTTGCTCCTCACACAGAAGGAATATGTCAACCTTTATTTAGTGCATCAGACAATTTATAGTCTGAGGGTATTCTAAGTGTCAGGCAAAGTTGACTTGAGTTCAAGATGTACACAGTCACAAGGGCAAGGTCACATCAAGCTTGGAAACATCATTCTAGATAATCACAGGTAAGATGATGGGTAATCTATAGTAAACCTAATCCTATCACACCTGGGAGGGACATGAAAGCACATCCCAAGAACAATCCATGTTATGAGAAAACGGAGATTACAAGACATTTGCCTTGTTTCCTTGGAGTTATCTCACAAGTTCTCAAAATTTCTCCTCACACAGCTTCATTCATGGACCGTGTTCCCGCAGTAACTACCTTCCAAAAGGTTAGCAGTTTGTTCCAAACTACACAGTGGAAGTCTTCTGTAAACTATTTTTCTATGTGTCTTAAAAAAAAAAAAAGAAAAAAGACAGCTGTTCCAATCAGGATGAATAAGTCTCTGATTAGCTCTTATACTGTCATGAATTGGGACTGTCATTAAATTTTTACCCATAAAATTTTAGCTAATCTGTAAAGTTTTATTTTCAAGCCAGACATCAGTGCCTTAGAAAATGAAGCTGTTGCATGTTATTAGAAAGTACAGTGTGCTAAATGATTCTCTGGGCACTTCCTGAAGAAATAGGAAGTTGAGAGTGAAGTTGAGAGAAAGAGAGCTGGGCCAAGGATAAGGGAAGGAAATGCCAGCCTCGAAGGACAAGAGAGAATGAGTTACAAAACATTCATTTATGCAATAAAAGCTTTAAGGCGTGACTGGATTATGTTTGGAAAATATCTACAGGTTTTACTTTTAATAACAATTGTAATTTCTAGTAACAGCAACCCTCACATTTAGATAGAAAAAAACTGGTGATTGCTCTGTCTTTTAAGTCTTAATAATATTTAACATTAAGTTTCTAAAATAAATAATAAAACTGGAAGCTGAATTGATTATTTGCAAAATTCTGGTAAAACTGAAGGTTCTTTATTAATTATCATATGCTTTTCTTTTTAATTAACTGATTAACCTAAAACGGGCTTGAATGCCATGAGAGGTAGGGATCAAAAGATCCAAAGACCGTATTTTTCTTTACAACTCCTTCAGTAATACATTAATGCGACAGAGAATCCAGCAACATCTATATAGTGAACCTCCACAACCATGAAGAGATGGGCCCCTGACACACAACTATCTTAGTGTTCCACTGTTGTGAAGAGACACCAAGATCATGGCAACTCTCACAAAAGAAAGCGTTAAATTTGGGTTTCCTTATGGTTTCAGAGGCCTAGCCCTTTACCATGGCAGAGAGCACGGCAGCATAGTGCTAGAGAAGTAGCTGAGAATCAGCAGGCAGCAGGGAGAGGGAGGAAGGGAGGGAGGGAGGGAGGGAGGGAGGGAGGGAGGGAGGGAGGGAGGGAGGGAGGGAGGGAGGGAGGGAGGGAGAGAGAGAGAGAGAGAGAGAGAGAGAGAGAGAGAGAGAGAGAGAGAGAGAGAGAGAGAGAGAGAGAGAGATGCTGGGCTGGGGTTGGCTTTTGAAACCTAAGCCACCCCCAGTGACACACTTTCTCCAAAAAAAGCCACACTTACTCAACAAAGTCACACCTCCTAATCCTTCTCAAGAGGTGTCATTCTCTGATGACTAAGCATTTAAATATATGAGCCTATTGGGGCCATTCTTTTTTTTTTTTTTTTTTTTTCTTTTTTCTTTTTTTTTTTTTTTTTTTTTGGTTTTTCGTGACAGGGTTTCTCTGTGGCCTTGGATGCTGTCCTGGAACTAGCTCTTGTAGACCAGACTGGTCTCGAACTCACAGAGATCCGCCTGCTTCTGCCTCCCGAGTACTGGGATTAAAGGCGTGCGCCACCAACGCCGGGCTTGGGGCCACCCCATCAACATTTAAAGCAGGTCCAATTATTATATTTATTTTTATCATAAAACAGAATAAGGACTTGTCATACCAAGGTCCAGTTTGTTTCCCTTGAACATGTATCGTGAATAAACTGCATAGAGGATAAAACGTGTTCTTTTTTTCCTACCCTAGAGGAGATATAACAGTCAACCCTTATTCAAAGTTTCAGTCAGCCACAATACACAGTGATCTGAATATGGGAAATTCCAAAACTTCACAGCACCTAAGTTTTCATTTGCACGCAGCTCTGAGTGCCAGAGTGAAATTCCTTCATCGCTCCAAAGAGGCGAATGATCCCCACTACATATGACACTTAGTCATGTTTAGGTTATCAGTCAGTTTGTGACTTGACTCCACAAAACACTAGAAAGAAAGGAAAGTAAGTTTCTAAATATGAGTCTAATGCACGAGAGTTTGGATCCTCATCCCCACCTTTCCCAAGATATTTCTTACAGTACAGAGAGCTGGGAGACTTGATTGGAAGGAACATGCACCTGAGAGTGGTTCGCAGACTCAAAGGCTTCGCCTGTATCTATTCCGTTGTGCAAATCTTTGGAGGCAGAGGTCAATAAAATTACTTCCTCCAAGTAATAACACAGATCAGCTAGGTCTCTGAATACCAAAACGTGCCTCACGCTGGCACATCTGCAGGGCTTGCAGACCAACTATCAGAGCTGAACCCTAAGTGAAGTGGATGCTGACAAAAACTGAAACGCCAGGGGCAGGAACCTTTACAGGAGCAATCCACCTTCGTGCTGTGCACCGTTACAAAGGACACTCGTCGAGTGTCAACAGTGTCACTCAGGAAGGAGACACGCCCTTGCGTGGATCACCGCAAACCCGCAAGCGCTACACGGGTGGGGTGGTCCTAGGGCTCCACCCAAAGTCAATCTCATCCCAGACGCTAGAGTAGATCTCGAAGACAAAGGGGAACCCGATCGCCTGGTGTACGCTTCCCGTTAAGGCCGAAAGCGCCGTCCATAGCCCATAGCACAGTCAGCGCCCGCAGGGAAGTTCATCCCACCCTGGTGGGGCTGGCTCCAGGCCTCCTCGGCCGGCTGCGGGGCAGGGTGGTGAGCCCCGACCCCAGCAGACGCTCGCCCACCGGCTCCGGCAGACCCCAGCGGATGCGCACCGTCCGAGTCACGGCGGTGACCGCGGCGCGGGGTCCGCCCGCACTCTCACTCACCAGCTTGGTGGCCCGGTACGGCCCGGGACCCACGATGCGGTGCTCCATACCCAAGCCGCGGCAGTGCCCCGGCAACGCCGGCCACGACTCGGGGTTCGCCGCGCCGCAGTTTGAATCACAAGCCTGGAGGTTCCAGGCGCTGATTGGACAGAGCGAGGGCACGTGACAGGAACTGCGTGAGTGGGCGGGGCCGGGCGCGTCCTGAGTTTATCTACTCCGGGTTTCTCCTTTTCGGAGCTGGACGAAAAAGATGCTTCTTTCTCGCCAGTGGGCGCTCGGACACTCGGGGGCGTGACGGGATCGCGCAGGGTGTCGCCGGCCCGCCGTGGAAGGCGCTGCCCAAACCCTACCCCGACTTTCCCCGACGCGTGAGTCAAGTCTACCTGGAACCTGGTAGATAACCATTGTCAGCACCCAGGGCCGAGAATCTGGAGGTTAGCTAAGAGAGGAAGAAGTGGGTGGGATGAAAGGAAGCGAGCTGACAGCTGTCCTAGTGGAGGAACTTTTAAAAGCCAGATAAAAACAGGCTGCCATGAGGAGTCGTAGAGACTATCAGAGCGGTAGCCCTGGTCATCTTTTGTTTTGTTCTCTTGATAAAGTACAATAATCTTTTCCCTCCTTGAACTTTTTTCTATTTTGCATCTGACTGAAATTGTTCCATTCATTTGTTTTTGGAGTTGAAGTGTCTGTTTTCTCTGCACTGGATCGCCTTCCAACTTCCAGCCCTTAGGAATTGTTGGTCCGACTTGCAACTGTTCAAAGAGACAAATGACTTCACCAGTCTCTATACGATATTCCTTTAACTCAGGGACTCCAAGTCAGAATCTGTATCTGGACACCTCGGTGAAGACCAGGACAAGAGACTGCTGAGCCACCACCTTGGTCGTGGAAACTGCTTTTTGCAATCGGCAGTGGTTAATTCAGACGCTCGAAACTGGTGAAAGGGCTGAGATTAAGAAGCACTGAGCATGGGATATTTATATGAACACCCCCTTTCGGGGGTCATGGTAGAAGAGGGTGCAGAAAGAATGTAGGAGCGGAGGGATTGGGAGCAGTTCTGTGAAATGCTGTCTTCCGGCTATGATACGGATGTTGCACTCAGGAACTCACAGCAAGTTTCTTCACCTGTTCAAGACATGCACACGATGGAGCCTGTCAACATTCCAGCCGACCAGGGAGGGCCACTAGTGAGGTTATTGGAAGTTAATGGGTGCGGAGAGATATCATCTATTTTCTTCCAGTAAAGAACCCCACAACCATGCTTATGTAAGCAACCCTAATTAAACTCAGTGAGTCATTAAAAAAAAAAGCAGGATTTCAAAGTAAAGTCTGGGCATGCTCAGTTAAGAATTTATTTGCGGGCCTGAGGAAATGGCTCAGCTAGTAAGGGCATGTGGCGCCAAGACTAATGCCCCGAGTTTGGCCCTGAGATCCTACATATTAGAAGCAAAGAACTGACACCCACAGACTGTCCTGATCTCCACACAGGCTTTGGTGACCTTCTCCCAAGAGCTGAGAATAAGCACGTGTACCATTATGTTTGACTCGTAATCCTTATATTTGTGAGACGTATTCCAGAGCTTTTTCAAGCCACTGATATTCACATTTGACTAGATATGTAAATAGGTGAAACTCCGTTTCATTATTAAGAAAGCTAGGCTTCAGAGAAGTCAAACAGCTTGCTTAGAATCCCGTGTCTAATAATTAATAGAAGGTGGACCTCCATCTGTGCTTTCTGTTACCAAAGCCTGTGTAGAGTTTGATTTCATTTGCTAACTTGGTTTGGATGGTTTTACTAATACCTTCAAAATCGAAATGAACAGTCAAAATAAAATCTAATGTATTTATCCAAAGACATTTCAGGAATCTATCATCAATGAACCCAAGTAATCTTTACCAGGCTTGAGTTTTTTAAAAAGAAAACCATACAGTTGAATAATTAAAAATAATCAAATCAATGTCTTTAATTGACTTTCAGCCCCCGCCCCGTTTGGGTTGAAAAGGGGTTCACTGAATATATCATATATATTTAAACACATTATCACCACCCTAAGTGTAACTCTCAGTTATGTCTAGATTAGATCACTGCATCTATTTCTGCATCCTGAGTATAACAATTTTAATAATTTGTTGTACATTCTCTTCTGTGACACACTCAAGTGTGAAGCCATTGAGATGCTATAGAAACTGACTCAGGGTGCAAACATCTTCACGAGATGAGTGTCTGGAGAACTGGCTGTTTCACTGACTTGCCTTTGGCATTAGAAAGTTGCAATTGGGCAGTAGAAAGCAGCTTGCCTCAAATATACTCTGTGTTGACAGCTGTGTTTCTCAATCACTCTGACCAAGGAGTGGCTCCGAGGCACCCAGAGGGTTCCTGGATATCACATTCAATATAGCTCCCGCACAAGTCACATAATGCCCAAGTCACTGGCTGCTTACATGCGACTTTAGTGCTTCAGGATGCCCCTTAGTGTCCATTCCATGGTTTTTATTAGCATTTTAACCATCAAAATGTCCACTTGCAGAGGCTGGAAAGATGGCTTAGTGGTTAAGAGTGTTTCCTGTTCTTCCAGAGGACCAGTGTAACGTGAGTTTTCCAGATTGCCAAAATGTCTCAGTAAGTATAAGTGCTTGTGCTAAGTCTAGAGACCTGAGTTTGATCCCCAGGGACCCAAACCTACATTGTGGAAGAAGAGAGCAGACTCCTGAAACTTGTCCTCTATCAACAACACATACATACACAATCAATCAATTGACCAATATAATTTTAAACTGTTGAATTATTCAGTTCTATTCTACGTGTGGGGGTTCATGCCTGTGATCTCAGCACTGAGGAGGCAGAACCAGGAGGATCAAGAATCTAGAGACAGCTTGGAATACACAATGATAACTGTCTCGGGTTTTTTGTTTTGTTTTGTTTTGTTTTATTCATTTCTTGGGGCTGGAGAAATGGCTCAGCAGCTAAAAGCACTTGCTGCTCTTGGAGAGGACCCAGGTTCAGTGGCCAGCACACACACAGAGGCTTACCACCATCAGTAAGTCCTGTCCCAGTGATCCAGCATCCTCTTCTGGCCTCCTCAGGTACAAAGCGTGCATGCAATGCACTAACATAAATGTATACAATACACTAACACATAACAATTAAAGCCATAAACACTTTCAAATGATTAATTTCTTAAAGAAAAATTTGATTGACACTATAGTTGTCATTTCTTATGTAAACTTACTCTACAAAATAACTACCTTTTATATTTTCATATCATCTATCATATTTGTTTCTGAGTCTGCCCCTCTGCTACCTTTTACTCATTAAAGTTGTGTATATTTGCTTTTCCTTTTGAGTTTGGTACCTTAGTTTATAATTGTCTCTTCACCTGCTGCCACCTCACACTTCTTGCATAGCAGTTCAAAAGTTGTCCTAACTACACATTTACCAAAGAGCATTGCTAAATGGGTTTACATATTTGAGTACAAGTTCAATTTCTGGTATATATTTGCCATGACAAATAGTATTAACAATGAAGTGTGTTTCACAATAGCTGGAAAAGTAATTTGATAGAAAAGCAATTTGTAGCCAACATTTGCCTTATGGTTACTGGATGAATTAGGGAAAGATCCTAGAGACAGGCAATCCATTTAGAAAATCATTGGAGGATCGTGGACATGAAATTGCAACGACAGAGGGACATGTGGAAAGAGTATGTGTTCTTGATGCTGCGGGATAGCAGAGTTCAGTGAACACCTCTGGAGTGGTTCCGGGTTCCTGTATACTGGAACGAGTTCAACAGAGATACATGGACAGTAGCAAGAGAATCTAAGAAAGGAAACCCTTCTGAGGGAGAAGCAGACTGTAGAGAAAACATACTTTAGTAGCTGGAAGATACATCTCATATCAGGGCAAGAGTGTGGAGTAGTGTGGTCTTTGGTGTCTCTTGCATTCTCTATGACCTGAAGTTCTTCTTGTAAATCTTAACTCACTAATATCTGAAATCTCCACCCACAGGTGACCTGACAATGCAGAGTGCCTCTGCTCCTATGCCAGTGGCTCCATTGCGTGTTGGAGTCCCATTATTGGGTTCAGTCGAAGGAACTGAAATCAGTGTATTGGAGAGGTGGCTGCACTCCCATGCCTCCCAAGTTTCTTACAGCACTATTCACAATAGTAAAATGTGGGATCAACCTAAGTGTCCATCAGTGGATGGATGGATGGATGGATGGATGGATGGATGGATGGATGGATGGATTTAAAAAAGAAATTAAAATGTGGCATAGTAATCATGAGGCCCTGGGTTCAATTTTCAACTTCCAAAGAGAAGAGAACTTTTCTTTAAAAAGTAAAAAAGGAAGAAGAGAAACAGGAAATGAAATGAAGAATCTAACATCACAATAGAATATTTTTCTACCAGTAAAAAAATGGTGAAATCTTATCTGTGTTGCAACATGGGTGGAAGAAGAGCCTATTGTATTGAGAAATAAGCTAGGCACAGAAAGACAAACACTATATTTTCTCGCTCATTTGAGGAAGCTAAAAATTTAATTACATTGCAGTAGAGGATAGAATAAAAATCAAGAGGTAACGATAGCTGGTGGGAGGGAAGATGGAGATAAACAACGGGTACCAAAAATGTAGAGGTATAAGGGAATGATTTCCAATGTTCATAGTCATTAGGGTAAGCTACACAATAATTAGTTATTGTTTGTTTATAAAGACCCAGAAGAAAGGGATTTGAAGGCTTTCGAACATTTTTGTTTTTTTTGTTTTGGTTTGGTTTTGGTTTTTTGCTGTTGGGATTTTGTTTGTTTTTTGGCTTTTGGTTTTTGGTTTTTCGAGACAGGGTTTCTCTGTATTGCTTTGGAAGTTGTCCTGGAACTCGCTCTGTAGTCCAGGCTGGCTTCGAACTCACAGAGATCCGCCTGCCTCTGCCTCCCGAGTGCTGGGATTAAAGGCATGCACCACCAACGCCTGGTGCTTACAAACATTTTAATATTTGAGAAGATGGGAATGCCAATTTCCCTGATTTGATCATCCTATAGTGTGTGTGTGTGTGTGTGTGTGTGTGTGTGTGTGTGTGTGTGATTATAATACTTAACTCCATAAGTACAAAGATTGTAAAACAAATAAAAAAGTAATAGGTCAGGGGCTGGATAGATAGCTCAGTTGGTGTTCTAGTTCTGTTGCTGAGATAAACACCATCACCAAAAGCAGCTTACAGTCTAGGTAACAGGTTGAGGTAATTCAGGGCAGGAACACTATCAAGAGCAGAGGCAGGGATCATGGAGGAAAGCAGCTTTCTGACTTGTTCCAACCCTTCCCTTCCCCCCACCTCCCTCCCCCCTCTCCCCCTCCCTCTGTCTGGCTTGTGCTCAACCTGCTTGCTTCTACTACTCATGACCACCTCCCCAGGAGTGGCACAGTGGTTGTGTTCTTCCACATAAATCATTCATCAATAAAATACCCCACAGACATGTCCACAAGGTCGATCTGATAAAGGCAATCTGTCAAGGTCCCCAAATCCCTCCAAATCATGGGACTGGCAAAATCTTCCCAGGGTCTGTGTACAGATGTTGGCAGTGTGTGCAGAAAATGTCAACCAGATATTTACAGACTGAGACTGCTTCCCTACCAAGATACCCTACTGAGATTAACTAAACCTGCCTCCTTGATCAGCTATATATAAAAACCCTGCCTTCCCATTCACTTATCTCCAATAAACCTGCCTCCTTGGTTCAGACAATGGCGAAAACATGCTAAGGTTCTGAGCTATTTCAGATACATCTCCATCAAAGCACAAGGTCACCTGATCGAAGCTTTTCTTCATTCCCTATGACCACAGTTAGGTCCAGTCCCTAAGCTACACAGGTCTCAGCAGCCTGCATAAAAAGAATGAGGTGAGCCTGCCTCCCCCTGGCTCCACACTCTGGTAGAGCAGTGAGTGCCAGGGGCTCCTCCAGCCAACCTCTCCCTTTTCGAGTCCCCTGACCTGGGGAGGACACCAGACTCCTCCAGAAACTGAATCCTGTAGAGAGACCTGGAGACAGCTCAAAACATCGAGCGTCAGTCGCCATTCCTGCCTCACCCCTCCACCCTCCAGTAGAGCGAGCATAGAGTGAGGACATCCAGAGAGGGGAGAGGATAGACACTCGAACCCATACCCACCGGAAGAGGGAGAGACCCTTCCTATACCCACTGGAAGAAGAAATGGGAAGATGACAGTATGAGAACATATCCAACAACAGAAAGTCTTATATGACACCACCAGGGTCTAGGGACTCTATACCTGAACATCCCAAGGCAGATGAAACAGAAGAGAATGACCTTAAAACAACTTCATGAAAATGATAGAGGCCCTCAAAGAAGATATAAGAAAATCCCTTAAGGAAATAGAAGAAAAAACAAACCAAAAAAAAAAAAAAGGCAAGAAATCAACAAATCTCTTAAAGAACACCAAGAAAGAAAAAACAATCAGATGGAGGAAAGAATTCAAACAGGTTAAGACCTGAACACTGAAATAGAGACAATAAAGAAAACACAAAACTGAGGGAATGCTGGAAATAGAAAAGCTGGTAAACGATCAGGAACTGCAGATGCAAGCATAACCAACATAATACAAGAGATGGGAGAGAAAATATGAGGTGCTGGAGACAAACTGGAAGAAATAGATTCATCAACCAAAGAAAATCTTAAACCCAACAAATCCTTAACACAAAATATCCAGGAAATATGGGACACTGTGAAAAGACCAAACCTAAGAATAATAGGCATAGAAGAAGGCAAAGAAACCCAGCTCAAAAGTGCAGAAAAAATAGTGAAGAAAATCACAGAAGAAAACTTTCCTAACCTGAAGAAGGACACGCCTATGAAAGTGAAAAAAAGCTTATTGGACATAAAATAGACTGAACCAAAAATAAAGTTCACTTGCCACATAATAATCAAACACCAAACATACAGAATAAAGAAAGAATATTAAGAGCAGCAAAGGAAAAAGGTCAAGTAACATATAAAAGCAGACCTATCAGAATTACACTCGACTTCACCATGGAAACCCTGAAAGCTAGAAGGTACTGGATAGATGTTCAGACAACAGATGACAGCCCAGACTACTATATCCAGCAAAACTCTCAATCACTATAGATAGAGAACACAAGATATTCTATGACAAAACCAGATTTACACAATACATATCCATAAATCCAGCCCTACAGAAAGGAAGGGGAACTCCAACCCAAGGAAGTCAACTACACTCAGAAAAACATAGGCAATAGATAATCTCATTTTACCAAAAGCCAGGCTTAAGGGATAAACTCACACACAGTACCACCATGAAAAACAAATTCAAAACAAAAATCAACAATCAATGGTCATTAATATCCCCTAATATTAACAGTCTGAACTCCCCTATAAAAACACACAGGCTAACAGAATGGATTTGAAGACAGAATCCATCCTTCTGCTGCATACAAGAAACCTACCTCACCTTCAAATACAGACGTTGCCTCAGAGTCAAGGGTTGGGAAAAGATTTTTCCAATCAAATGGCCCTAAGAAGAAAGCTGGTGTAGCTATCCTAATTGAACACATTAGACTTCAAACTAAAATTAATCAAAAGATATGAGGAAAGTCATTTCATAGTCATCACAGGAAAAATCCATCTCAATTCTGAACATCTATGCACCAAATACAAAGGCACCCACATTCATAAAGGAAATATTACTAAAACTCAAATTACATTAAACACCACACACTTATAGTGGGAGACTTCAACACTCCACTCTCACCACTACACAGGACCATCAGACAGAAAATTAACAAAGAAACAAATGAACTAACAGAAGTTATGACACAATTGGGATTAGTAGAAATCTATAGAACATTCCATCCAAACACAAAAGAATATACCTTCTTCTCAGCACCACATGGAAACTTCTCTAATATCAACCACATACTTGGTAACATAGCAAACCTCAACAGATACAAAAAAAATGGAATACCCCCCTGTGTCATATAGGATCACGATGGTTTAAAGTTAGAATTCAACAACAACACAAATTGCAGAAACCCTACAAACTCATGGAAATTGGACAATGCCCATTTGCACCATTCCTGGGTCAAAAAAGAAATAAAAAAAGAAAGTAAAGACTTACTAGAATTCAATGAGAATGAAGACACAACATATCCAAAGTTATGGGACACTTTGAAAGCAGTGCTAAGAGGAATGTTCATAGCACTAGGTGCCCACATGAAGGAACTGGAGAATAATCACACTAGAGAATTAACAGCACAACTGAAAGATCAAGAACAAAAAGAAGCAAACTCACCCCTGAATAGACACCAGGAAATAATCAAATAGAGGGCTGACATTAATAAAGTAGAAACAAAGAAAACAATAAAAAGAATCAATGAAACAAAGACTTGGTTCTTCAAGAAAATCAGTAAGATAGTCAAATATTAATCCAAACTAACCAAAAGGCAAAGAGAGCTTGCTGATTAACAAAATCAGAAATGAAAAGGGGAACATAACGACAGACACTGAGGAAATCCAGAGAATCATCAGGTCATACTTTGAAAACCTGTACTCCACAAAATCTAAAATTTAAAGGAAATCAACAATTTCCTGGACAGATATCACTTACCAAAATTAAATCAAGAACATATAAGCAATTTAAATAGACCTATAACCCCTAATGACATAGAAGCAGTCATCAAAAGTTTCCCAAACCAAAAAAAAATCCAGGCCCAGATGGTTTCAGGGCAGAATTTAATTTCTACCAGAAATTAAAAGGAGAATACCAGTACTCCTCAAAGTGTTCCACACAGTAGAAGCAGAAGAGTCATTGCCAAACTCTTTTTACAAGGCTGCAATTACCTTGGTACCCAAGCCACACAAAGACACAACTAAGAAAGAGAACTGCAAACCAATATCCCTCATGAACATTTATGCAAAAATACTCAATACTGGCAAATCGAATCAAAGAACACATCAGAGAAACTATCCTGTGTATATGTTAATAAAGCGCTGTTGGCCAATGGGGAAGCAAGATAGGTGGGACTAAGAATCGAGGAGGATTCTGGGAAGGAGAAACACAGGGAGATATCATGTAGCCTCCATAGGAATAAGAGGTCCAGACCCTTTCTCCCGTAAGAGAAATACTTAGATTAACAATTATGAGATAACCAGTAAG